TTTTTTTTTTTTTTTTTTTTCCTGTTCAATTCCAGAGGCACAACTAACTTTCAACCAGTTTATTTCTTAGTTTCAGAATTATTTTGTCTGAAAAAATATTGTAACTTTGAAACCCGGACCGAAAGAGCCAGTCTCTGGTCACACATTCTCAAGGGAGCCCTCTTTTTCCACTTGGAGCAGAGGCAGCGACAGGTTTCTCTTTCAAACAGGCAGATTCCCCTGCTTTATATTAGAGCCTGTGTTTCAGCCCTCCCATTTTACAGGAGAACACCTAGTTTCTGATTTTTTACCAAAAGCTGTCAGTGTGGCCTCTTTACCTCTTAGGCATTCCCAGGCTCCCATTTGCCTTCCCATTACTTCTGTGGTTTCAATGTTCTCTGTTTCCTATCCCTTTAGGGATTTCTTTTGACTTCACTGTGTTTTTATGTAGCATCTAGATGATTCATCATTTCTGAGGGCTTTTCAGAATACCTAGTATGCCATACTGCTGAAATGGATGCAAAAGTAGACTTTATATAATGTATTATTATGAATTTATTCAGATTATATTTTGCCAAAGTGTGACTTCACATATCTGAACTGTATTCTTTACTTTTAAATTAAAGTAGAGGTGAGGCATTTGATTGCTAACTAGAAGGCTGCAATTCAAACTCACTAGGCTTTTTGTGACAATTTTTATAAGATGTTTAATCAAAATATTTTAAAACCACAATAATGGCATTGATATTTTATGTATTTTAAGTTTATTTGCTCTATCCTGTGTTTCAAAATAATTTTGAATACCCGAGTATAAACTAAGTGCGTTTAGATTTGGAATGCTAGAAAAACTAGAATAGTATTCTGAGATAATAAAACCTTAAGAAAGTATAAATTATTTTTAATTTTAGTCATTGTGGAATATCTGAAGCCAATCACATGGCAATTAGAAATGGCACTGTTAAGGAATCTTTGTACTCCCTAAGTATGTTGTTTGTTGCTGTTGAGTCAGCCTCCAACTCATGGTAACCCTGTACAAAGGGACAGGACAGATACCAACACCCATGCTGTCCCCATGACCATTTGTGGATTGAACTGTTGTGATCCATAGGGTTTTTGTTGGCTAATTTCAGAAGTAGATTACTAAGCCTTTCTTCCTAGTCCATCCTGCTCTGAAACTCTGCAGAAAAATGTTCAGCATCCCAGCAACATGCAAGCTACCACTGACAGATCAGTGTTGGCTACCCATGAGGTGCATTGATTGGCTGGGAATAGAACCCCAGTCTTCCACATGGAAGGTGAGAATTCTACCACTAACCACCACTAAAGTTACACCTAAGTATTTTGTTGTTGTTGTTATGTGCTGTCGAGTTGGATCCAACTCATAGCGACCCCTCCTTGGGTTTCTGAGGCAGTATCACTACGGAAGTAGATTGCCCAACCTTCCTTCCGAGGAGTGGCTGGTGGGTTTGAACCGCCAGCTTTCTGGTTAGCAGTCAAGTGCCTTAGGCACTACGCCACCAGAGCTTCTACACCTAAGTATTTGTTGTTGTTGTTGTTATGTGCCATCGAGTAGCCTTTTAAAATTGTTGTGCCAAAAAAAAAAAAGAGAAAAAAGGAAAGTGAAATGTGAGAAATGAAATTTCTGTAATCTTGTTTTTCCTTCTAAGAGAAAAATACCATTAGAATATTTAGTGGGTATATGTGTGTATGTAATGTAATATATTCCAATATAACATAATATGACAATATGGTATAATTTAATGATAGTACAGGAGCTCTGCTGGCGTAGTGCCTAAGGCATTTGACTGCTAACCAGAAGGCTGGCGCTTCAAACCCACCAGCCACTCCTCAGAAGGAAGGTTGGGCAGTCTGCTTCCTTCCGTAGTGATACTGCCTCAGAAACCCAAGGAGGGGTTGCTATGGGTCGGGTCTGACTCGACGGCACATAACAACAAGTATGGAGTAAAACTTCTCTTTGTTCAATTGATAGCGTCTTACTAGTTTGTCTGTGCTCTAAATAATAAATAATTTATCTGGTTTTATCTTTACAATTTTGTTTGTTTTTTACTTGACAGGTGGCAATTTGTATCATACCGATGTCTCGCTCTTTGGAGAACCTACCGAATTTGAGTATTTGCGGAAAGTGCTTTTTGAGTATATGATGGGTCGTGAAACTAAGGTATAAAATCATGTCTGGTGATTTGACATGTGGCTTGATTTGATCGGGAATATATCCCACTTTTAATATACATGTTGATACCATATTGTTAGCTGACCGTACATGTTAATCATAGACAGTAGGTAATTATGTTATTGCTCTTAATCTATAAAAATGAATTGGCAGATCTTACTTATATTTGTTACATTTATGATATATTAATTTTAAAAATGATGTTGAATGATGCTAAATACTAAAAATTTAAATTTTATTAACTAAGAATAGTTTGGGAAACATGATCTTTTTTTTTTTTTTTTTTTTTTTTTACTTCAGATCTTAAATTTAGGAGAATAGATTTCATTTACAAGGAGACTTTAGGATAATGTGAAAAGTATTGGAAATGGTCCTAAGTAGGAATAGCTATTTAGGAAGATCTAGAAATATTTTAGTTTAAGTCACTGTTAAAAAAAACATCCCTTCACGTATGGAATATTGATCATCTTAACATTACCACATCATGTAAGTAATATTGCTTGGTTAATTTGTTTTCTAGAGTTTTATCATAAGGTCCTTGAGTGTAGGGACCTGTTTAACTCTTGTCTGTATCCCTTGTGTAGGGACGTGTTTAACTCTTGTCTGTATCCCTTGCAGTGTTTTAAAAACAGAACCTTACATGTGTTAGATTCTTGGTAATTGAATATTTTGAATTCATTTGAATGCGTTTAGGAAATTCTTAAGCCATTCCTCAAGCAAAAATTTTATTTGAAGCAATTTCTCTTTTGACATTGTTTCAACTTTTTGCTTTCATGGTATTTTATGTTGGCTGTGAATAGGGTAATGAAATTTCTATTCTTGGAAGCAATTAGTGTTTTAAAGTTAGGCGCATGAGTGTTTTTGATTCGTAGGATGATTAGCCATTTCAAAGATTGATTTGGCAAATATATTTAAAGCTTAAAAAGTACAGAAATAAAAAGAAAAAAAATGTACAGAAATAAGAAAATATCTTCAAAGAGTAATTATGAACTTTCTTATTAGAGATTCAGCTAAACATCAGAAATTATAGGGTTAGAAGTCATTTGAATCCTTAGTATCTGTAGAAGTCATATTTCACTGTATCAAATAGTTTTCAAATTAAAATAATACCTAGGATGATTGTGCACATGGATCACAGGAGGGATGTATTAATTCACTGTAATTCAGTGTCTTTTTTAAAAAAAAAATAAATTCAAAGGGTAGCTAAAATTAATTTTGTCCTTATCTTTTAGAAACAAAAGTAGCATTCTCTTATTTTGTCCTTATTGGACAGCAACCTGGATTTTTGAGGTAGAGTAGATAGTTTAAAATTAACCTTGTTATATTATAGTAGGGAGAAAGTCTATCTTTCAAAAGGAAAAAAAGCCTTTTAGGACTTTAATTACCTTGGTCCATTATTGCATCTAAAGCTGCATTCCCAGCATTACTGCTTAATAAATTATTTAACTTTTTTTTTTTTTGTAAAACAAAGAGACTAGCTGCCTCAACCTGTTTCTTCTGGAGGTTGTAAACTTTTGTGGGATGAGATCTGTGCAGGGTTTAAATCTCCCTGAAGAAAAGACTCAGCAAAAATGTAAGAAGTGTTCTGGGGTGGTGCCAATTCAGCCAAGTCTGAGCTTGTGCCTCCAGAGTCCTGCAGGCAATTTTAAGGTGTACCTTTGTACCCCAAGGCACAGATAGATAGTCCCACCTGATACCTAGCTGAGAATCCATGTTGAGGAGGGGTTCTTTCTCTCTGGCCTTTATCTTCAACATTCATTATGTTTTTTTGGCTACTAAAAATGAAGAGTGGTCTGTCATCCTGCCATCACATTTTACAGGTAAATATTGAAAATTGGCATCAATACTCAGTTTAATCTCTTGCACATTCATAAATACTTTCTACATGTGACCCTTTGTTGATCACCATGTTTGATAGAAAGATGAAACTTGATACCATGTATAACATGAAGGACTTTATCATATAGTAAGAGCTGTTCTCGGTTAGCCATATGTGATGCAGAATGTAGGAAGGGCTATAAAAGAGGTTCAGAGTCCTTACATTACCTTGTGGGAAGTTTAAGGATCATATCATGGAGAAGGTGGTATATGCCTTGGGCTTTAAAAAAGGGATTAAATTTTTATAGATGAGCTCGAGGGGCAGAATAGTCCAAGCAGAAGGTTTAAGGCAGGAAATTGAGTGTTTGTGGAATAACAAGTAGTGTGGTTCAAATATACATTGGGTCTATAAGGCGAAAGTGATGCCATATAGGGCTGCATAGACTGTGCAGGGCCTCAAATGCTTTCAGAGTTTTACTTGTAGGCATATGGAAGGTAACCCTCAAAATTTTTTAGCAGGAGCTAACAAGATCAAAACTGCTGTCAGATACATCTTTTGCTTTTGTTGTTTTGCCCACTTGCTATACATTAACAAAGAATTTGAGATGGAGACCAGGTTGTAGTTAGGATGAGCCAGAGTACCACTGTGGCCTTTGTGATTTGATCACCATCTGCAGTTGTTTCTTGTCTGGCAAGATCTGTATGTCTTCCCACCTGTGTTTCTCCATCTGGTTCTGCACATGGTGTCCTTCTTTTATGAGGCAGAAGACTTTTTTTTTGAGAAGACTGTGTATAGGACACATATTCTTACAGTGTGGTGTTAAGTGAGTTCCCTTCCTCCAGTCGTTATACTTTCTTTTTCTTGGGTTTTGGTCCTCCATACTATTATTGATACTGACACTCAGCCTGTTCACCTTTTCAGTAAAAAGTGTTCCCATCCCAAGCTTTACTGAGGAAGCCTCTCTGTAAGGAAAACCTGGCAGGAAAGGTCATTTCTAAACCAGGTGGCTCATTTGAACTTTTCCTTATTCTTCAGGGCCTGAGGATAATGTTTGTAGAGTAGACAGTCTGATTTCTTTCCCAAGATGTGTCAAAGAGCCTGGGCTTCCCTACTGAAAGTGTTTTCAGGCAAGTCAGGGAGAAATGTAATTCTGGATTGCTGATGAATTTAGAGGTGGGTTTACCATTTAACATTGTCTAGGAATGTTAAGAGACCACTAGTTGTTGTTTTTTTTTTCTTCCTCAGGCATGCTTATGCATGCATGTATATGTTGTATATGTGGTTTCATAGTCATCATAAATGGACTTTTGAATACTTTGAATTTCATAAGCTATTGAAATTAGAGAAATGTTCCTTATAATTGGGTCCCTGAATTTTAGACTTTTGGTACTTTGTAAAACTAATCTTTATAGATAGTATAGTAGAAACTATTTAGAATTGCTTCAGTGTTAATTAAAAAAGGAAATACTGAAATAGTTATAAGATCATGTTTCTTTTGCCATTTTATGCCACTTACATGCTTATTTTCTAGACTTCAATAAATTTTCTATCTAAGCTATGAGATTTAAAGGATGAAGGTTTCTGTAAAATGCATTTGGAATTCTTCAAGAACTAAGTTGTTTTAAATGGGTTTTTCTGCTCATCAGAATGGTAGGGGCAGAGAGAGAAGGAAGGAAAGGGCTGATACTTGCCATGTGTGGTGATTATGGTTGAGGAACAGTATTAGTTGATCTCTTAGTTGAAATAAGTACTAGAAATATGTAAAATACATTTGACACTGGCTTAGCATGTAACAGGAATTTTATAACTGTTAATTCTTTTTCTTCCTGAAAATAGTTGTACTTTTTTTTCTAATGATGTAAGTTTCCAGAAAATTTTGATTAATTCTATTATGTCCTCTGTTCCTTGATGACCTACCCCAGATCCCCAGGTGCTGAACCCTCCTCTGTCCCCCCCCCCACACACACACACACACACTCTCACACTTCTGTGTAACCATGAGCAAAGAATTGTTCGAGTCAGTCCTCTTGGACTGACTGACCCCATCTGATGTAGGAATCCCCAGGAGAGCACTGTCACCTGATTTTGAATGTAACCACTGAACTTGTTATCCTACTTATTTCATAAGCAATATCTTCTTTCCTCTCTGTCTTCCTCAAAACATCTCATCTTGATACAAAATAGGGAATTTCAACCTTTGAGGAGAATTTTCCACGAACTTATGGGTGACAGTCTGACTTACGGTATATCTATTTAGATCTGCACAATTTATGATCGTTTTGCAAGCCACCATGTGTAATGTTTTGATTCATCCTGTTTTCTACCAAACAAAACATCTTGTGTTTATTTAAAATGTAATTTGTATTTCTATTAGGCTGATGTTCTGCATGTCTTGACGAATACCTACTGAGCATGTTCATGTTCATGCAGTAGCCCATGTTTATGAGATATATGATGTGATTTAGTTAAAGAGGAACTGGGGGTTATCTAATTCTGATTATTTACAGCAAGTGGCAATGCATCACTTATTAGATAGATTTCTATAAAGAAAAGGCCTTTTTAATGAATGAGTAATAAAGTTTCACCTTACTAAGTCAAAGGGCCAAGAACATTAGAACTTTGTATAGCTTCATGCTATTGTGATTTCATGTTTTAAAAATAATACCAATCCAGACATTGTGAGGAATCTGTTCAAATTGAAATTCTGGTGTTGGCTGCTATTTCCTTTACTGATACCTTCACATCATACTTCTTTGGTCGTGGCTTCCATTGAAAGCACTAAAGAATCCCACCAGCAGAACATGTCGGAATGGGCTGAGACTTCACCCCCTTCACTATCTATCAGTGATCATCTCTCATTTTTCTTGTAGACCATGGCAAAGGTTATCACCACTGTACTGAAGTTCCCTGATGACCAGACTCAGAAAATTTTAGAAAGAGAAGATGCTCGGCTAATGGTAAGCTTTTGAAGTAGGCTTTAGATGGAAGAAGACTTTATCTTATCTATTATATTCTGTCTCGTTCACAGAAAGTTGTAAAAAAGAAAAAGAGTGGAACTACATTAAGGAAGTTTAATCAAGGGCAAATGTGAATGGACACCCTCAAGGGAAAAAACAAACATTTAATAACCTCTATTAGGTTGATTCCCATATATGCTGTATTGGATTTCCAGAACTTGAGCTGTTTCTGGAAAGTATAGGAAAAGCATCTGTTCCATAGATCCAATAATAATTTCTTAAACCAAATTGTATCATTAGCTCTGATGTTTTATGGATTACAGTTTGTAATTCTACTTCAAGTGATTTCTAAATAAAATAATTCTTGATGAAAGAATTTCAGCATTTTTGAGCTTTAACACAGCCTACAATGGAAATGAAGACAGATAAGTGAGGAGTTTGTGTGGAGTCAGCTGTAATTGAAAAATGAAATGAACATACACTTTATAAATTATGCAAAAAGTCTTCATGCTTAACTTTTTTTTGCCTTCAGCCATTCATTCAGTAGGAAGGTCCACTTTGATTAGAGTGTCAAACCTGTGAAGTTTGTGCCCTGGCCCTAGTTCTCTTTCTGCTGCCTTTTCTTGTCTTGATAGTAACCTGCAGCACCTTCTATATATTCCCACCAATTTCTTTACCTATTTTGTGACCCAGTGCTATTTCTCCCTTCTCTCTCTTCACCGAAGCAAGCAAGGATATTCTCTGCAGTGGTGAGATAGCTTGTGTCTAAATATCTCTAGTAATTAGTAATCTCTAATAATGATTAAGTCCTTTGGTAATTACCTCCCAGAGCATTTCATTTTATTTCTGACAGACTGTATTTCTTACAAAAAAGGTTCAAATCTCCCTCTGTGTAGTAGCTACCTGTTTGTTCTAGTTCTAACGCATGGAACTCAGCTATGTATTTAGAGATGGCCCAGATGGAAGGCTTTCCCGTCCAAGTTAAGTATGCTAGTACTTAAACATTTATGATGTTGCTGTCTTCTGACCTTTGCCTGTGGTCAGTCCTGAAGAGATCCCAGTGCCGTAGGCAAAGTCTAACAACTTCTTAGAATCCCCTAAATTCATCACAGTATCCCTGGTCTTTGTCCCAATATGTCACTGTGTTGTATTATATACAGATTGTATATTTTCTGGGACAATTGTAATTATTTTGGTTAGCATTTAATTCCATTTTTAAAAAAATTTCATTGTGGTAAAATGTATATAATAAAAAGTTTGCCACTTTTACATGTACAATTCACTGACATTTATTGTGTTTATCATGTGCTACCATTACTATTATCCATTTCCAGCATTTATTTTTGGTAATACGCCCCTCCCTGCTATCTGGTGGCCTGAGAAGCATTACTCTTTCTCTGTAGAGTGTTTCTGGTTTATTTTTTTGATGAAGAAATGTGTCACTATGATGTGTGCCCTTCATCAGTAGAAAGAATTGCTTTAAATTATAGTAAGAGATCTAATTTTATAGTTATAGCGTCACTGAGAGTGAAATTTGTCCTCTTCACCAAGTAAGATAGTTGTATCTTTGTGAAAAATAAAAATGTCCAGTGCAGTTTGAGCCTGTGGACACTATTCTGTCATGTTCCAGTTTAAGAAAATAATTTTCAGTGATAGAAAATAGCTTGTATGTATGTGTGTATGTTTACAGGCATGTATGTTCATTCTCCTGTAGCCTTTTTATCATCTTAATATTGGAGTTGGGAAAACTCTCCTCTTAGTGTTGTGCTGCATTTTGTCAGGATACACTAGACCATGTAGACTCATCCTAACTCAGTGTTATGGGCAATGTGGTAGAAAACATCCCCCTTGCCTCTTATACATATACACCTTAAGTTGGTTTACTTTGAAGGCAACTGATGGAATTGGTAAATGTAAAGAATGAAAGATGTAAAAACTTTTAAAATGAGACAGTTTTTTTTTAATTTTTTTTTTTTTTAAGTTTAACTAAAACCCAAAAACTTTGAAAAACAGACTCTCTATTCCTGAATAAAGTGATATTCCTTCTACATAGGGATAAAATGGTGGCTGACTGATCCTTATTGAAGTGATTCTCCCTTACCCTAGAGGCTGATCTGCCCAGAAAGTCCCGTTCTTTCCTCTGTTCTCTTAAACAAAGTCTCATCTATCATTATGTTTTGCTTAATTAATGAATGAGTTCATTCAGTTATCACCTACTTGTCTAGTTGTTATGGAGAATACAGGAAAATAGAAGACGTGATTGTTAACTTTGTGAAAACTTTATTTGGGAAAAATAACATCTGTCCATTCATACATGGATAAAAGATATGCCTTAGTAATATAATTTAAATAATAAAAATAGATGCTTAAGAAATATGAAGTAAGTTATAAGGAATATGAAGTGGGGGAGATCCTAAAATACAAGATGACATAAAAATTAGAGTTGTTTTTTGTCAATCCAAAGAGATTCTTGGGCAGAATGACTCAGGATTTCTATTTTTGATGAAATATTAAGCTCACTGTTGGTTGAGGAAGTTGAAGCAAGAGTTACATTTGCCTTTGGATTGCTGTCATTCAAACAATGAGCAATTAGAATCATTGTCTTTGAACAAGTCTCTTGAAGAAATTTCAAACCCCTGCCCAATGAGCAATAAAACACTGCAAAGAACAATGACTTCTTATTTTCTAATAGAAAGTGTACACAATATAATTTATGGAACACAAGGCTCTAAGAATTTTTTAAATAATCAATTAAAAACTATTTAGTTACATTAGCTTTAAATGTGTGTACCATGTAGATCTTTTCTATAGTTTGTTGGAAATGTGAAGCCACAACTTCCCCTTTATTAAAATCAGCAACCTTGAGTGGTTTTCTATTTTTTTCATTCTTTAAATTTAATCTTTGGAGCATGAAAAGCTGGTATAAAAACCAAAACAAACCCCAGACACATCATAGAGCTGCCTTCCCTGTCTATTAATGCTGACAGTATGCAGCCCCACTAGTGTTTGTATTGTTTAGCAGGTATTATGTTGTTGTTGTTATGTGCCGTCGAGTCAGACCCAACACATGGCGACCCCTCCTTGGGTTTCCAAGGCAGTATCACTGCGGAAGTAGATTGCCCCATCTTCCTTCCGAGGAGTGGCTGGTGGGTTTGAACCACCAGCCTTCTGGTTAGCAGTCAAGTACCTTAGGCACTATGCTACCAGAGCTCCTAGCAGGTATTATAAGAGGACTGTATTCTAAAAACTGTTTTGTGACCCTGATGATTATACATTTACTTTGTGGCATTGATCAAAAGCTTTCCGTGACTGCTGATAGGTATTTTTTACGCTATTTACTGTTTAATCATACTTTCCCCTCCCCCAAAGAGTTCCATCCCCTGCAGTGAGTTTTTTCCTCCTTGTTTGAAAAATCCCATTGTAGAATATAGCAGTTAATGTTTATAAGTGTTTTCAGAGCTTAACCTAATGTCAGGAGTCCTTGGGTGGAACAAATGGCTAAACTTGACTAATAACAAAAAGTTGGTGGTTGGAACCCACCCAGAGGTACCTTGGGAGATAGGACTGGCATTCTGCTTCTGAAAGATCGTAGCCTTAGAAACCCTGTAGAACAGTTCTACTTGATCACATGGGGCAGCCATGAGTTGAAATTGACTTGATGGCAATTAAGAATAACAACCACCACCTGCTTTCAAAAATACTTCATAGATGAGAAACCATTATCTATCAAGTAAGATTAAATTGTTGTTGTTGTTATGTGCCGTTGAGTCGGATCCGACTCACAGCAACCCTTCCTTGGGTTTCTGAGGCAGTATCACTATGGAAGTAGATTGCCCCATCTTCCTTCTGAGGAGTGGCAACATTAAATTAGAGCATAGTTAAAGTCTGATATAACTGAGGATTATGGTGTGTAGAGAAGGAGTTCTGATGGGTCAGTGGTTAAGCGCTTAGCTGGTAACTGAAAGGTTGGTGGTTTGAACCCACTGGCCACTCCATAGGAGAAGGACGTGGCAGTCTACTTCTGTAAAGATTACAGCCATGGAAACCCTTTGGGGCAGTTGTACTCTGCCATGGATTTCTGTAAGTCGGAGTCAACTCAGTGGCAATGAATTAGGTTTTAAATTGGTATGTAGAGAAGGAATCCTGGTCCTTCTTTACATGAGCCTATGTTTCTTCAGTTGTAAGATATGAACACTAACATTAACTTATTAAGATTGTTGGAAAACCAGATGATAGAGGCTGTGCTGGGTTATTGTGGTAATGGTAGGGGTGGTGGTGATGATAATTAGCCACAAGATAGTGAAGTGTAGAACTAGTTTTTCCTAGAGAATGAAACAAGGAAAGGTAAACTCATTTAATGTATGTAAGGTAAAATACTAAGGACCTCAGTAGGACAGTCTAGTCATTTTACAGGAAGGAGACAGCTCAAAAAAGATCATCTCCAGTTCTAGAACATTGGAAAGCTGGCCATATGCAGCATTGCTGTGGTCAGAGCCTAGCACTTGGTAGCTTATCATTCATGTATGTCTTTGAGCAAATCTTTTTCAGCTTTCTGAGTCTCATTGCTAAAATAAGGATGTTGAATTATACTATCTCTTAAGATTTGTTTACAGACTGATGCCTCTGGTTTTCTAATTTCAGTCTTGTCAGCTTATTTTAATTTTGAGAATTCTTTTTTGGGGTTGGTTTCTGGGTGATGTTATCATGTGTCTTAATCTTAGGTTGGTGTATTCTGTTGTTGGTTTTTTTGTCTAAAGGACTCTTGTTAGCATTTCTAGTAAGGTGTTTTTCTTTTTTTAAATACAAATTCTCTTAATTTCTGTTTATCTGTCAATGTCCTAATTCATCATTTTATTTGATGGACAGCTTTACTGCATATATAATTCTTGGTTGGCAATATTTTTATTTCAGGGTTTTATATTGCCTTCTTACGTGCATGATTTCTGCTGAGAAATCAGAGTTTAGTGTTATTTGTTGCCCTTTGTAGATAGCGTTTCATTTTTCCCAAGCTGCTCTCAAGTTTCTTTCTTTCTTTCTTTCTTTTTTCGTCTTTGGTTTTGGAAAGTTGACTGTGATATGTCTTGGTGACTTACTTTTAGGGTCTATCCTATGTGGAGTGCTTTTAGCTTCTTGGATGGCTATCTTTCATGATATTAGGGAAGTGTTTTGCTAGCACGTCTTTGGCAATTTTCTCTTTCTCTCTCTCTCTCTCTCTTTTTTGACTTCCTTCTATTCTGAGTAGGAGCTCTGGTGGCGTAGTGCCTAAGGCATTTTACTGCTAACCAGAAGCCTGGCAGTTCAGACATACCAGCCACTCCTTGGAAGGAAGATTGAGCAATCTATTTCCATTGAGATACCACCTCAGAAACCCAAGGAGGGGTCCCTGTGAGTCAGATCCAACTCAACAGCAGTGAGTTTGGTTTGGTTTGGTCTGTTCTGAGATTCCAGTTACATGTAGATTATTTCTCTTTAGTATTCCCACATAATTATTAGACATCTTTCATTCTTTTTTCTGATTTTTCCTTCATAGAGTGGTGTCAAGGGATTTGTTATCTAGTTGGCTAATCCATTCTTCAGTCACTTTGATTCTACTCTTATCCTTTCAGTGTGTTATCTATCTCTGTAATTTTAGTATTTATCTTCTAGATTTCTGATTGCTGGTTCTGTAGGATTTATGATTGTCTATTTTGTCATTTTGCTCTTGTTTTGTTTTTCTGAATTCTTCTAGGATATTGTCTGTGTATTCCTTGATTTTTTGGTTTCCTTGAGTTCTTGGAAGGATATATATCCATAAATAAATAAATATATAAATCTTTTTAATTTCCTATCAGTAGTTCTATTGTTCTTCCTCAGGGAGGTTTCCTAGTTCTTTGTTTTGGTTACTTGCTTGCACTATCTTGTCTTGTTTCTTTGTTTGAATTGAAATTGTTGTCTTTTAAACGTTTTGGAGTTGTTGTTTTTATTTGTTGATTATGTGTCGATTAGTTTCACTCTGGTTTTTTATTTTTCTTAGTTTTGATATATTCAGGTAGGTGGGGCAGGTGTGCTTCTTTGATTGTTAGTTTGGTGCAATGGGAGCACTTCCCACTTTTTTCCAGGTGGGTAGAATAACTAGTGGGAATGTGAGTGCAGGCCTCTTTAGGTCATGAAGAGAAGCTGTGGGTGGGATGAGCAGATGTTTTCCACTGTTTGTCATTGCTCCAGCGGTGCAAAAGCATCCCTTATTGTTTTTAATCACTGACTATATGTGTGATTATGTTGATATCCTACATTTTCATTGACCAGTTTCATATTCATGGACACTTAGATTGTTTTAAGTATTTCAACACTTATAAGCATAGATACAGGGATCATTCACATACATATATTTTGTATACTTCTGCAAGTTTTCTTATATGATATTAATGCTGTTGTGTTGTGTGTGTTGCAAGTATTTTTTTCCCAGTCTTTTGATTTTGCTGCTTTTTACTAACTTCATGTTAAATGTCAAATGCAAATGAGACTTCTGAGATTGATGACAGTATCCAAATACAGGCTTAGATTTTATAAATAACACCTATTTTTGCTGTTTTAAAGCAAACCATTAAGCTAATAAATGATTTTGGATTATGGTTGCTCAAAATAAGACATAGAATTTATTTAAGAAGTTTTGCTATAGTGAAAACTATGAGATTGCATAGTTTGTATTGAAATTTCTGTTTGGGTCACCATTCCTGACATACTGTTGAATTACCAGACAGTTACCAGTGATAAAATTGATATAGGTAACAGTGAAAATGCAACATACAGACAGACTTAATTTTAAATTCATCAGCATTGTCCAAAAAAAACTTTTGATGGTAAATTAAGATTTTATAAATCAAATTTTAATGTGTATTTTAAGAGAATTATGAAAGAAGTACTTTTATAAAGCAAATAATCACTCCTTGATTTCCCTAGTATATAAATACATACTTAAAGTGTGAAGTATACCTTTCATTATGTTTAATTTTTAAAAATTAAAGTTGCAAGTAAAATCTCAGCTATTTAACACTATATGTGCTTAGAATAGAGGTGTTAAATATTTCTTATGCTTTGCCTATACTCTTCTTATTTAGGAGATTTGAGGGAAGATTAAGTATGATCTATTTAATCATGTAAGCCTAATATACACATGTAATCTGTGTTATATTAAGTCTTAAAACTAACCCAATAAGCTTTTTTTCTTCCTGGCTTTGTAGTTTACTTCACCTCGCAGTGGTATCTTCTGAGTAAACCATCAGTCTGTGCTTAGTTAGCATGTGGGTGAGTGAAGAATGTTTTGTGTCTTTTGTACAAAATCAACTCTATTGTATGATATTAACCACTTTGCTACAATTCTGTTGCTCTTTTTTGCTTAATGAACATATGATTATGCCATGAGTTAATAGAAATATTTTCTGTTAATTCTGATACATAGATTCTTCTTTTCAGTTAATTCTGTTATATAGCTTAATAATCACCAGGAAGATTTATATAATTCTAAGAAAATACAGTTCTTTAAATAGTAGTTCCAAGTTTGAAAAATTGTTCTTTAAAATCTTATTAAAGGTCCAAAAAATGTATTATGTATTTTATATTTCATTTTGTTTTTAATTTCCCAAGAATGGTCTTTGAAATTAATAAGCATTTGCAAGAGAGAAATAGAAAATAATTTTCTACATAAAAGGGAAGTGATGTATTTCATAAATTCAGAATTAAAAAATACAGTAGAGCCTACTTAGAGAGTCAAGGCTAACTTGAAATAATGAAAACTATTAAAGTTGCTTCAAAAACAGTACAGTTTTACTATTTCCTGGGATGTTTCTAATTAACATATTATTATAATTAAACGGAGGCAAGCACACAATTGACTGTCACCTTTTAAACACTCCTCTCACTTCTCTTTCTCTTATTTGTCATCGTCAACATTTTCCAGTTTTCCAAATAATGCCTTTCATATTTTCTAAAAATCCAGGATCTGCTCAAAGATCCCACATTGTATTTGTTGACATGCCTTTTTCAGTCTCCTTTCGACAACAGTTCTTTCAGCCATTTTTTTCTTTATGACATTAATAACGTGCAGCATTACTGAATCATGTATAAATTTCATTTCCCACAACAGCTCAAGCTGAGGTTTCCAAATAATGACTGACAAAGAAATTTAAATATAACACGAGATCTATTTCTTATCTTTAGGTTGCTAGACCCAACATGATCATTGAACTAGTTTTACAAATAATACACTATTGGTAAACAGGCAGTCCCAGGGTTAGGATCATCTGACTTTATGGACAACTCCTACTTGCCCATTAATTGATGTAAATTTTCCCCCTACTCCAACAAATTCTTCATTACAGTCATCTTCACTTTTACTTCAGGTAGCTTTTATATCATTGCAGAGGCTTCAAGCCTTTTCTTGCCTGAGAGAAAAAAAAAGAACCAAACCCACTGCCATCTAGTTGATTCCAGCTCATAGTTACCTTATAGGACAGACCCCTCTAGTTAGTAACTGCCCCATAGGGTTTCCAAGGCTGTTAATGTTTACAGAAGTAGGCTACCTCATCTTTCTCTCTCAGAGTGGCTGGTGGGTTCAAATCACCAGTCTTTAGGTTAGTAGCCAAATGTTCTAACCACTGTGTCACCAGACTACCTTTTCTTGCACTGAAATAAGGCTAAATAAGAGCCATACACCTGTTCTGACTCACCCATAAATTCCACTTACAGACTTAATGACGCAGTTAGGATGGCTCTCATTCATAACCCAGGTACTGCCTATATATTGTGAGTTATGGATTATAGTGTTCATTTACAAATTGAGAAGACTTAAAATCTTATCTCTGTTACTTTACCTTATTTGGTGATTTGTTTTCATGGCATTTTCAACATCATACTTGATTCATTTGACTGCTTGCTTTTAGCATTATCTTATGAGAACCTCATTAGGAAGGTTTTGGCTTCATTTCTCATAGCATTTATGTTTCTTAATTTCAGATGAGGTTTAGTTTTTTTTACACCAAAATACTGTTCGTCTTTTGCTGCAGTGACCATCATTCTGGGAGAATTGCAGTCTGTAGAAAAACCAGTACATTAGAAGGATGAGGTCCTCTCTAAAGAACTGCATCCCTGTGAGACTTTGTTAAGTTAGCAACATTACTCCTGGGTTTCTTAATGATGACCTGGCGTCATTCAATATGTGGTGAAAGGTTACAGTTCCAAATTTCCTTTAAAATTCCTTTTTTCAGATTTTCTAACCATAGGTCAGTTTGAATCATTCTAAGATATTAATTTTTAGAAGATTCTTTTAGGATTTGATACTCAGAATATTTCCATTTATTTGCTATAATCCATGGATCATAAAATGTAAGTTTATTTTCACTTCTAAAAAATAAATTTCCCAAAACATTGACTTTGAAAATATTTTTTTTAATTTATTTTCTAAAATACATTTTATTGAAACATAATTGATATACAGTGAAAAACACAAAACTAAAGTGACATGGGTCAATACATTGAAAAAAAATTTTTTTAAAAAACTCTTTCCCTTTGTTTTTCAGTCATGGCTCCGGTCTTCATCTTGAAGAAATGGGGAGAGTGATGTTGGGCAAGCCTGCTGCAGCTTGGAAGACTGTCCACATTTGTAATTCTTTGAGAATGAAGTTTTTCAGGGCCTCTCATGTAGCCAAAAGACCAAGAAAGCTCTGGCATTGGCCCACAGATATATTGCAGATTTCCTTTTAAATAGATTTTATCAGTGGAGAAATGCTAATGGTTTCTTTTTCCTTCAGTTTTCTGTTGGGCAGAGTTTTATGTTGTGTAAAGGATATTTTTAATAACTTAACCTGATTTATGAGCTTACTTAATGTTCCTTCTATTCTTTTTGTCCCTCTTTTTAGAGAACTGCTTGCCTTTCCTATTTATTTTTAAGGTGATTTTTACAAAAAGACTTGTGCAATACATTTTGAGGTGAAACCTAGTGACTTTTTTTCTGATAAATTAGAGTATTCAATTGACTATTTTATCCAGATTGATTCATTGAATATTTGCTAAAGACTAGCTCTTTAAGCTATGACATGATAAATCAGATGGCAGTACCTCATGTTTACTTAGCTTTTGTACTTATACTTTTCAGAGGAAAAAATACTACTGTAAATTGTAAATAGTCAATACATATAATTGTATTGTATGCAGATCTTTGACTGTTGACAATGTCATCCTGAAGGAACAGATAAATAAAGTTTATTTACTGTATAGATTTTGCTTCTTGTGCTTCCTCCTAAGTTGAAATTTATTTCAAAATAATCGAGAATCTGTGTTCTAGCTACATGAAGATAGTGATGCACTATTTGTCAGTATAGCTAAATGGTGAGCATTTGGAAGGATTTTTTTATTTTCCTGTTCAAAATCGGCATACCCCAAATTAGAAGATGTATAAACATAAATACTTTGGGTGTCTGTTTTAGCAGTCTGCCATCTTGAACTTCTTTCTCTAGATTAGACCATACTTTGAATGTCTTAAAACTCAGAAATTTCTGGATACCAAGAGATGGAAAGTATTCCAAGTGTTTCATATACTTTTTATTTTCTAGGAAACACAGTACACACGTAATATCTAGGTATTATCTGACCTGTGCCTCAATGGAGTTTCAGTAACTCATGCAGTCTGGACTTCAGAATTGCTGATATGTCTTACATTGTGATGGAAAGGGGAGCCTTCTGGGGAGCAGATGACCAGACCATAACCCACAGCTGACTCCTTTGGGAAGCAAGGAAAGAGTCTTCTTATCCTTTTTTTTTCCCTCCTTTTTATCAAAGTTTACTTATGTTGGCAAAACTTGTCACACTGAAAGGTTTCTGACAAAAGGCATGATATCTTGCTCTAGAAAAAAAATTGTGAACTCCTACTGAAATCCCTGTACAGTGTACCACAATTTCTTCTTAACCCATTTATGGAGACAAGCATATCAAAAAGAGCAGGGGTCAGCAACCTTTCTTTTATGAGAGCCAGATATTAAATATTTTCAACTTTATAGACCATATAGTCTCTGCTGCAATCTCTCAGCTCTTGTAGTCTGAAAGCAGCCATCGATAATGCATAAATGAATTCACACCATTGTGTTCTGATGTACCTTTACTTATAAGAAAAGGTGGTTTTGGCTTGAAGGCTGTATTTTGCTGACCCTCGAAAAAAGCTAGCAAGCTGGATTTTAAACATGGAAATGGGGGAAGGATGACAGTTAGTTAATACGTGGGGGTTACTGTCTCTTTGTCCTCATTGCAGGCATGCAGCCTCTCAGAAAAGGCTACAGCAAATGCAGCTCACTTCTATTAAGACTAATGGTGACACTTTCTCAGTGTTACTTATTCCAGTTAGAAGGATAAAGCATTACATTATGCTCAGTGTCAGGGTCTCAGGCCTATCTGGGAACCTTTCTCCAAGATCCCCTGTGACTGAATCCCTGAGTGATGTCTGGGAAATGACAGTTTTCCCAACAATAGTTACAGGACATGTTTTTATCATATATTACAGCTTGCTGAGTACTTTCTCTGATTGATACTTGCAGACAAAGAAACAGGTTTGTGATGACTGAGGGTAGTAGATCCAAGGCCACAGGGAGAAAGCTCTGATCCCAGAGCTTAGATCTGGATGCCCAGCTCTGGACCCAGAGCTCTCTCCAAGACCTGTGATTGCCCCTTACTAAAAGGTTGATGCAGTAAATTTGTTACCTAGTGCTACTATAACAGACATACCACGAATGGATGGCTTGAACAAACAGGAGTTTATTCTACAGTTTAGGAGGCTAGAAGTCTAGAATTCATAGTGCTGGCTTTAGGGTCAGGGTGGAGGCCCCTTGACCTTAGACTTCAGCTCTGCCTCTTCTTGCTCCTGGCTTGCTGGAGCTGGAGATGTCTCTTAACTTAGGCAGCTGCTGGCTGCTGAACCTGACAAACCCAAGGTCAACAAATAAAATTGCACAGTCCCAAGATTATCATGCAGCATGGCAGGCCACTAGTTCAGGTCCAGAAAGAGTCTCAAGATGGACAGATAAGATGGCGGGCTACTGAGTTGAAGACTTGGACAAATACAGGATCCAAATGGGCCAAAAAGCGTAAGACCTTTCTCAAGTGTCTCCTTATGTACTGGAAGCAGACCACATCCCTAAGGCAGGTACTTAGCTGCTCACAGCAGATTCCACCATCGAGGTGATTACCAGCCTCATCATGAGGAATAACTACATCTAACTGCCCAGCCAAGTTGACCAATAACGTTAACTACCACATTTACTGTCCCCCCAAAAAAAAAGAATCCCTCGCATTTACTGGAGTTAACTTTTTTGAGGGTCAGATGCATGTGGATTTTGGTAGAGAGCTACCTTGTTTTTGATGTTCAAATTTTGTTGAATTTGTTTTCCAATGTTGAATATTGTTTTTGTTAGGTACCATTGAGTCAGCTCCAACTGATACTGACCCTACATGCAATAGAATAGAAGGCTGCCCAGTCCTGCACAAACCTTAAAAGCATTGCTATGTTTCAGACCTTTGTTGCAGCCACTGTGTCAGTCCATCTCATTGAGGGTCTTCCACTTTTTGGCTGATGTTTGACACCCTACAGTGTACTTCTCCAGGGACTGGTCCCATCTGATAATATGTGAGTAGAGTTGTATGTGAGACAAAGTTTCACCATCTTCACTTCTGAAGAGCATTCTTTCTGGTTGTACTTCTTCCAAGACAGATTTGTTAAAAAAAAAAAAAAATTGTTCATTCTTCTGGCAGTCCCTGGTATAGTTAATATTCTTTGCCAATACCATAAGTCAAATGTATCAATTCTTCCTTAGTCTTTCTTATTCATTGTCCAGCTTTCACGTGAATATGAGGCTATTGGAAATACCATGGCTTGGGTCTTGATCGTATATTCTTTACTCAGATGGTTGAGCATTGACCAGTTCTTTTTGGTGCAATAACTTTGTGTATTCCTTCTATCTTCTTTTGATGCTTCCTGCACTGTTCAATATTTTGCCCATAGAATCCTTCAGGATTGCAACTTGAGGTTTGAATTATTTTTTTCAGTGCTTTCAGCTTGACAAATGCCAAGCATATTCTTTCCTTTTGGTTTTCTGGTTCTAGGTCTTTGCACATTTCATTGTAACACTTTACTTTGTTGTCTCCAGCCACCCTCTGAAGTCTTTTCAGCTCTTTTACTTCATCATTTTTTCCATTTGCTTTAGCTGCTCTATGTTCAAGAGCAAGTTTCAGAGTCTCTTTTGACACTCATTTTGGTCTTCTCTGTCTTTTTAATGACCTTTTGCTTTTCATATATGATGTCTTTGATGTCATCCTACAACTGGCCTGATGTTCTGTCATTAGTGTTTAGTGCGTCAAATCTCTTCTTGAGATGGTCTCTAAATTCAGGTAGGATATACTTGAGGTTGTACTTTGGCTGTCATGGACTTGTTTTAATTTTCTTCAGCTTCAATTTGAATTTGTGTATGAGCAACCAATGTTCTGTTCTGCAGTTGGAACCTGGCCTTGTTCTCACTGATGATAGTGCTCCTGTATTGTCTCTTTCCATAAATGTGTATTATTCCATCCAGCAAGGTACATGTGTATAGTCACCATTTATGTTGTTGAAAACAGATACTTGCACTGAATGAGTCATTTGTCTTGCATAATTCTGTCATTTGATCTCCAACATCATTTCTGTCACCAAGGCCATATTTTCTAACTACTGATCCTTTTTCTTTGTTTCCAACTTTTGCCTTCCATTCAACAGTAATTATCAGTGCACCTTGATTGCATATTTGATCAATTCTAGAAGTAGATAAAAATCTTCTCATTCTTCATCTTAGTGAAGGTGCATAAATTTTAATAAAGTCATATCAACTCATCTTCCTTGTATGCTTATGAATATCATCCTATCACTGACATTGTTCATTAAGATCTGACAATGCTCTTTGTCTTGGGAATGCTTCCTTGCCATTTTGTCATTCCCAGCATAGTAGACTATGTGATTACTTGATTCAAAATGGCCAGTACCAGTGCATTTCAGCTCACTGATGGCCTAGGTTGTCACTCTGCAAGCATCCTATTTTACTTTCAACAATTCAAGTTTTCTTGATTCTTACTTTAAAAATTCCATGTTCCAATTACCAATGGATGTTTGCACCTTTTCTTCTCATTTTGAGTCGTGCCCCATCAGCAACTGAAGGTCCTGAAAACTTTATTTCATCCATGTCATTAAGGTTGACTCTACTTTAAGGAGGCAGCTCTACTCCAGTCATATTTTGAGTACCTTCTGACCTGAGGGGCTCATCTTATGGCACTATATCAGACATCTATTGAGATTTTTTAAGTTTTCACTGGCCAATTTTTTTTTTTTTTTTTCAGAAGTAGATCTTTAGGTCCTTCTTTCTAGTCTGTCAGTTTGTCATACTGTAGTGGTTTGTGTGTTGCTGTGATGCTAGAAGCTATGCCACTGATATTTCAAATAACAGTAGGATCAACCATGGTCGACAGGTTTCTGCAGAGCTTCCAGACTAAGATTGTTGAATTAGGTATTCCTAAATTGAAGCACTGGAGTATCACTTCTCATTTTCTCTTGTATTTTTCCTTTAAAAGTCAATTGGCCACAAAAATTCAGGCCTGTAGAGTAAGTAGCACTTGCAGGCTGTAAGTGGATAGTACTTAGCTAATGCCTTTCCTGTGCCACGAGGCTCAAAAGGTGGAGACTGCTCAGTTGTAGCCTTCTCACCGCCACAGCAAACGGGGGGCCAGAAGGTTGTAGGCTAACACACCGTGCAGATTGCTGTTTTTCATTTCTGAAAAAGCAAACAAACAGAAAAGACCTTTTTCTTACTCTGAAAAAAAATTATGTAATTGTAGGTGATATAGAAAATACATTTTGAAAAAAGAAAATCGTCCTCCAGAAGTCGCCACTAAGAAATCACCACTGTTACTTCTTTGGTGCAAAGTGTAAGCCATAGATAAATATCAAATGTATATGTACATATGTTCATTTTTACATGTATTTACATTGAAGATTATTAAAATTTCTTTTAAACTAGCTTTCATTGCTGCATACTATTTTATCCTATGGGTATGCCTTCATTTTGCCCATTTCTGTATTTTTGAACATTTATGTTATGTGCACTTTGTCACTTTCATTAACTACTCCATAGTTCCAAAACCAAAGTCACTATCATCGAATCATAGAGATCGCCTAAGGTTTCCGGGCAGTAAATCTTTACATAAGCAGACTGTCTCATCATTCGGTAGGGTGACTGGTGGGTTTGAACTGTCAACCTTTTGGTTGGCAGCCGAATGCCTTAACCACTGCACCACCAGATTTCCTCGCTTCATAGTTTCGCACACTTCAAAAAACAAT